AAGTAGGCCCGGCCGCCCAACACTACAAATAGCTGGGCAGCGGCTGGGCCAGGGACAGTTGGAGTTGCCCACTTCTGAGCGACATGCTGCTGGTTGGAGGCTGCGCCATGCTGGGCTGGGTAGCGGAGTAGGGAGTAGAGGTTAGAGGAGATAGGGAGTGGCGGAGGCCATACCTGCAGTCGGCGAGCTTACCTGGCACCATAGTTGGGCTCCACGCGGTACCTGCACACAGCAACGGACGAAGTCAGTTCAGTGACAACTACCTGCAGGTGAGATTGCGAGGAGGGCTTCATCTTCCTCTCTCCCTCCTCCATCTCTCTCCCTCTCTCTCCCTCTCTCTCCCTCTCTCTCCCTCTCTCTCCCTCTCTCTCCCTCTTCTCCCTCTTCTCCCTCCTTCCTCCTCTTTCTCATCTTCTTCTTCTTTGAATCTGAGAGTGTGAGAGGTTATCAGTAGGGATTCAGGCTGGGGTTGTAACGGGCGCATTGCCCAGGATCTGATTCGACATTTCTGAGACAGACATTGTGGCTGTCTCTTATACACATCTAGATGTGTATAAGAGACAGCTCGCCAGTGGACTATTTTTTGACTTCGCTATTGCGATCTTGGTCTACTCCCTCGCCTCCTTCGTCTCGTCCCTCCCCCATCTCTCATCCGTGGTATCTCCCCATGAATGTGTGCGCATGAGGGACCTTTCTTCCATGATTGCGGTCCCTCCTCCCTCTCTCTCATGTGTGATGTGTGATGGATGTTGGGTCAGTCCAGATCAGATCAGATCTTCTCTTTAAGTCTTCCACTGCGCCATTTTGTGCCATCTTGTATGTATGCGGAATGTACATTGCTTGTTGATGCTACGTTGACCTTGCATTGTCCATTTCAGTCCTTTTCATCACATAGCGGATCCTTGGCTCCCTGCGCATTGCTCCCCCTAAGCATGCGTCAGTTCGGCGGTAGCATCTGCAGGTGAGGCAGCAAGGGAGGCGACATCGTCTTCTTCGTTAGTCTCCCACACTTCCTCTTCCTTCCTCCGCCCTCTTCTTCCTCTTCTTCTTCTTCTTCTTCTTGAGATAGAAGAGAGAGAGAGATTACAGGCAGAGGATACAGGCAGAGGTTACATTTGGCATAACACCTAGGATCCGATCCGACATTTTTGAGGCAGACATTGATTGGGTATACGGCAAGGGGACTATTTTTGGACTGCGCTATCACGATCTTGGTCTACTCCCTCGCCTCTCCCCCGATCTTATCCCTGGTATCTCCCCCACATGTGTATACAAGGTGTGTATGATGGGATGTCGCGTCAGTCCCGGTAAGGTCAGGATTTATCTTTGAAGTCTTCCACTGCGCTACTTTGTGCCATTTTGTATGTATCAGGATGTACATTKCCTGTTGATGTTGAACTGACATTGCATTGTCTATTCAGTTCTCTTCATCACATTGCGGATCCTTGGCTCCATATACATTGCCCAACTGTATGTCAATACGGGATTGGTGTTGTACTCCAGCAGAATGACGACAATGGGTACACACCTGTTGAGTTCATGTCCTTTAGACTGCTTAGTGAGAAGGTCGTCGCTTCTTCATATGAGAGGGAGTTGTTTGCTGTTAGAGTAGCCTTGAAGCATTGGCGACATTACCTCCTAGGGTGGTGTTTCAAAGTTTATTTAGACCATGAGACAGTTAACTGCCTGAAGACCCAAACTTGGATAACACCTAAATTGACTAGGTGGGTTGGGGAGATAGATCAATTTGACTTTGAACTAAAGCCAGTAAAAAGGAAGTATAACGTTGTCGCTGATGCGCTGAGTAAACGAGCTGATTTCTTCAGTGCCATCGTAACATATTTTGATCCACGCGCTGAGTTGCAAGACAAGATTAGGTCCACCTATGCTAGTGATCCAATGTGTAGTCAGTTGATTAACAAGGTGTAGACGACGCTGCAAGAAGTTCCGGACTATAGAGTGACCCAAGGACTATTGTTTGAGAAGACGGGCGCGCATGACAGATTGTGCATACCGAACAGTGAGGAGATTCGCCCCGGTGAACAGCGGCTGTAACTATAACGGTCCTAAGGTAGCGAAATTCCTTGTCGGGTAAGTTCCGACCCGCACGAAAGGCGTAACGATCTGGGCGCTATCTCGGAGAGAGACTCGGTGAAATAGACATGTCTGTGAAGATGCGGACTACCTGCACCTGGACAGAAAGACCCTATGAAGCTTTACTGTTCCCTGGGATTGGGTTTGGGCTTTTCCTGCGCAGCTTAGGTGGAAGGCTTATAAGGTCTTTTTTCGGAAAGACTGGAGCCGTAGTTTGATCCCAGGGGAACGCCATGATAAGGGACATTTCAGTTGGAGAAAAAGGTATGCTAACCTCGTACGTTCCTACACATGGACTGGTATGAAACATGATTGTATAGCTTACGTCCAAGGCTGCAAGGTTTGTTAGCGGAACCAAAGTTCCACGCAACCTCCCCTTGGTTTACTTAGATTGCTGCCTATACTGTCGGGTTCTGGGGACTCCGTGTCTATAGACTTTATGACACTAAGGTGAGAAGTAGGAATGGGAAAGGCCAGGTTATGGTGATTGTGGACAGATTTAGCAAGTTTGCTGATTTTGTACCACTCTCTGCTGATGCTAGGGCATATTTAGTAATTCGGGAGGTATTTAATCATTGGGCGAAAGACTACGGACATCCCTTGACTTTTGTAAGTGATAGGGATTCACGATTCACGGGTGAGCACTGACAACAACTAATGAGTGTCTATGGGTAACTCACGTTTGTATCAGGATGTATGTAAGTGATAGGGATACACGATTCACGGGCGAGCACCGGCAACAACTCATGAGTGTCACGGGCGAGCACTGGCAACAACTCGTAAGTGTCTATGGGTCCAAACTGACTAAGGCATACATCCTGAGGCACACAGATAGACCGAGCAAATGAACAAAGTGCTACAGCAAGTGTTGCGTATGTATATCCCACCAGATCAGATTGACTGGGACAAACATCTGGTTAAGGTCGCTAGTGCCTATAACAATTTTGTGCATTTGGCTACAACGAGCACGACCACTGAACTGCTTTTGGGTTGGCGCACATACACGCCCATTGACTGTCTGAAGCCTGACCAGGTGCAAAGGGTTCCGCCAGTGACTAGAGAGTTCGCTGTGCAATATCAGAAAGACTTGGAGAAGGTGAGAGAGAGATTATTAGAAAGGCACAACTTCAGATGATAGGGCAAGCAAATAAACACACCGTAAACCGCAGTTCGCTGTAGGGGATTTGGTTTGGGTGAAGTCGAAAGAATTTCTCCCAGAGGTACAAGCGGTTATCGGGTAGCTGAAAATTCAGGAATGAAAATTATGAAGTGAGAGTTTTGGGCAGTCTGAAAATCCTGAATGGTCCTGAAGTGGTGAAAGGTCCAAAGACCTTGAAAACCACCTGTTTAGGTAGGCTGCATCTTGAAGTGGTGAAGGGTGTCCTGAAGTGGTCAAGTGAGAGTTTTGGGCAGTTCGAAAATCCTGAATGGTCCTGAAGTGGTGAAAGGTCCGAAGACCATGAAAACCACCCTTCACCACTTGAGGATGCAGCCTGCCTAAACAGGTGGTTTTCAGGGTCTTCGGAGCTTTCACCACTTCAGGACCATTCAGGATTTTCAAACCTGAATTGTCTTGAAGTGGTGAAAGGTCTGAAGACCTTGAAAACCACCTGTTTAGGCAGGCTGCATCCTGAAGTGGTGAAGGGTGTCCTGAAGTGGTGATGAAAAATACGACTGTTGTTAACCTTCTCTCCCCAGAGGAGAACATTTCGCAGAAATTATTGCCTGCATATAGGGGACCGTGGCAGATACTCGACATGATTGGTGATGTGGATGATCATTCCTACGTTGTTGAGATTCCTCCGCATTTGCTCACTTATCCGGTGTTTCATGCCTCTTAAGTTGCTCCCTCGTGTCAGCAATGAGTTGTTTCCATCTCGGAGATCTATGATTCGTCCTAAGATGGATGGCAAATATGACGTGGACTGCATCGTTGCCGAGGATGTTTATAGATTGGGACGCAGGGGTAGGCCCCAACGACAATATGAAGTTAGATTTGCTTATCAAGAACCTTCAGAAGATCCCTGGTTATTTAGAGATGAGCTAGTCAAGAAATGAACTGCACAGAGTGACTTGCTATGAGAGAGCTAGGCGAGGAATCAACATAGTTGATAGATAAAGATTGTGACTTTCTCGGAGGACCTCGAAATTAGGCTGGCGAGAGTGAAAGGCATTCCACGATGCAGACCCCAAATTCGAATTTCAGGGTCAAGGTCTTAGTCCAAGGGAGGCCTAGTCGGCCAGTTCAGAAAGGTCACAGTCGGGTACCTTAGGAGTCAAGTCCAACAGGCACCCGGTGAACAGTCACTTCCCAGATGCAAAGGCTGCATTTTAGAAGCAAAAGTCACGTCTCATATTGAAAAGTTGTATCCCACAGGCAAAGGACACTTCTCCAGGCAAAAGTCTTGTCCCGGAGTCGAGAGTCACATCCCACAGTCAAAAGTCATGTTCCACAGGTGAAAAGCCGTGACTCACAGACCCAAGCAGCAGCACACCAATGAAAATTTGGGAAAGTACCAGGCCTTGACATTCTGAAGCAAGCAGGCTGTGGGCATGTGGTACCGGGTCCAAGTCAAGCCAGAGAAAGCATGGGCTGAGACTTGTCCAGGTTCAGTCCAGGTCAATATAAGGACTGGCCAGCCACATTTAAGACAGATTGCTCTTCGTGAGAAGTATGGAAGTGCTTCTGAAGTGCTTGTGCGCTATCTGCGAGTAGCACGCACAAGAGCCCTGCTGGGCAGCGCTGTGGTGAGGAAGGAAGGCGGTCATAACCGCATAGCTAGTAGTAGGAGGTAGAGTCGGGTGATAGCGGATGCATTCAGAGCATACTTGCAACCGCACGAGCCGCACATTCGTGTGGAGTTCCGTACAGAGTTCCGTGGGGGGGGTGCCTGTGCGGAATCGTGCAGGTTTTTTATTTTTATAATTTTATTATTATTATTTTATCTTTTTTTGGGAGGAGGAACGGGGGGGCGTATGATAGGAAGATGTGGATATGGCAAGGAGAGGGGGATATGGAGAGGAGGAGGAGGATGTGGACGAGGAGAAGAGATGGACGGAGGGAAAAGAGGAAGGGCAGGAAGAAGAGGACGAGTGGGAGGAGGAGGAGACATGGACGGCGAGGAAGGGCAGGACACGAGGAAGGGGAGGACACGAGGAAGGGGAGGACACGAGGAAGGGAAGGAGACGAGGAGGCATGGAAGATGAGGAAGTACGAGGAGGAGGAGGAGGAGACAAGGAGGATGAGGAAGGTCAGGAGGAGGAGGACGAACAGGAGGAGGAGGAGGAGGAGGAGGAGACGAAAAGGAGGAGGGAGGAGGAGACATGGAGGATGAGGAAGGGGAGGAGGAGCAAGGTGAGGCAGTACTCCTGTAATTTTTTTTTCATCTCACTTGTAATTTTGGCAGGGGGCCTCAAATGCACCATTTCGACCCCGGCCTTTTTTTTTTTCTGAGGGGGTGTCCGGTCGTTCTCCGCACACGTCGTGCGCCGCACGGGATCGGTTGGGCGCGTGCGCCGCACGTAGGGAACCCCCCGCACGACGTGCGCTTGCATGTATGATTCAGAGTCAAGAACTTCAAGTAGGGAGAGAGAGAGAGTAGAGAGAGAGTGAGCGCATGCATGAAGAAGGCCGAGAGAGAGA